ACGCGGCGAGCGGCAGCAACAGGCCCTCCGTGCGTAGGCCCTGGCTGGGCAAGACTGAACGCTTGAAACGGCGTTCAGCGAGCGCGAATCGGACTTATTTCCACCACGCGTCAGCCCCTTCACTTTTACTCTCAAGCATGGTAATATAGCGGCCCTCACCACTACAGTCAATCGCTAGATGGCTCACCAAGGCCCTCTAGCCAAAGCATACCAAGTACGCCCCTATACGCATGCTCTGATAAGCGGCGTGCTCGAAAAGAAAATAATTATCACACGGTTACTTTACGAAAATTAAAAAGTAGTGTTATTGAAATTTATTTTCATGTTATATATTAAAAGAAAAGCAACCCGAAATTGATGCAGAAATTAAATCTGAAAATTTGCAGGGAAGGTGAATAATATTTTTATTGACATTTAATTACTATAGTGATTTTATACATAAATGTTAACAAAAAATTATTTGTAATAATTTTACAACGTGTTCATTGAAAAGGTGGCACAATTCTTAAGCGATGATTTCGACATCCATAACTGATACAACCGAGGATGTTTCGTAGACAGTGGCCAGTTGTTCGAGAATTTTTGTCATTATTTCCTACCGTTGAAGATAAGTAGCTCCAAATGTATATATTAAGGCGACAGGCAAGTGTATAGTATTGATAGTATGTTGAATTGCCGGTATTCATTTTTTAGAGCGGTCACCATCAACCTTATATATTCAGTAATTACAGGTATGCTTGCTTGGAGTTTTTTTAGGCGTTTTTGAATCAAATTCGTTCCTTCAAGAGTACTTCTTTGTATGAAGAATTGGCAAGGTTTTGAGCATTTTGCCCCTCTATTTTGTTCCACCCAGTACCATAAAAGTATGTGAATAACCAGCACAGCTGTTTTCTTTATTGATTAATTTTCGGTAATCAGAATCAGAGTTGTCAAAACACTTAATCAACTGTGGGATATTCTCTATAAATTCGTAAAAATTTTTAGGAGAGAATGTAATATTTCTTTCTAGAGAGAAATAAATATGCACTATATGGAAACATCTACTGCTGCATTTTCAAACATAATTCTTCAATCGCCAGTTTCTGAAGAGCTCCGAAGTGCGTGCATTTTCTAACTGCTAATCAGCTGTAAAAGTGTATCTTTATTTTTCAACATGGTTGAGTCAAACGCGACGCCTTTCATGATTGCTTTGTTAACACTTGTTCGTTATCTTCGTGATAGATCACCAGCGATTGCTCGGTTTTATCCCGAGTCTAGACTTGAACGATGGAATAATTCATCACGCTCGTGTTTATTGAGACTATTTAGACGCATTATATTACTTGTGCCATGTCATTTATTAGCCCGTCCACATAATACTGCTCATTAAAGCCGCTGAGGTTTTAATGAGCAGTATTAAAGGACATTCTACGTGTGTTTTGCCTTTTCTCAGTTAATATGATAAGATGTTCCTAATTTATTATGTACCAGTTAAATAATGTACATTTCTAAAAGGCTTTGTATGACAGAGCGGCGATACAAATATATCCTCTTAGCTTCTAATTCTGAAACTGAAGAAGAAGCCGATAGTAGCCTTGAAGCTAACAAAATTAAAATTGAAGAAAACGAACATGTGGCTAAAGATGAAAATCCTCAGCCATCTACTTATGCTGACATCGTGAACATTGATCAGCCTCAACCATCAACTTCAACTGCTGCTGATGTCTCTTATGAAGCTGTGTTAGACAATTCGATTCAAGTACGTGGCTCACCACCTTTAGCCGTAAAACCTAAAGATATACCTTAGGAAAGAGGCACCTTATCAAACACCTTTGCGGCTATCTATCTACCGGGCTATTGTTTTATTATCGATAGAGAGCGGGTGAAAAATTTCAAAAAGTTTTAAATTACAGGTAAAGAATGTCTAATAAAAATACCCCTACCGGCCCGGGATCAAAATCATTTAGAATGGTTTGAGGGCGCTTTAGCTGATATTACCACATACATTACACAAGGTTGTACATCGCGTGATAGAACAGCCTTTATTATTAATTATTAAAAGCTGACAAGTGGACCAATATGGTCTCGCTTTAGGCCACCACAATGATATACAAGTACGATTTGTAGGAGCTACTTTGAAAAATTGCCCAAAGTGCCGGTGGTTTAAATAGTAACGATAACATTGTTTTGACGGTTTCAATTATCCGAGGAGTAGAAGGACGTGGTCGTAAAAAGCTGACATTCAAAGATATTTTTAAGCGTTCTATATTAAGTATCACAAATAATGATAATTTATGCTTTCAACGCTCACTCGTTGTCACCGAACTTTATGCCAAACGCGGTGAAATTCGTACCGGTAATCTACAAAAACGTTGGAAGATAATGTGTGTACGGCTATGATTGTGTTTGAGTTCTACACCTTAGGAAAAGGAAGTCCCTTATTCGATGGTCGGCGTGTCGTTGATTATTTGTATTATGTAGAGCATGTGCTGAAACAATAAATAAGGGTAGCTTTTATCATAATGATATCGCCGAGTGTGTATTGCATGGTACATGGATCGTTGACGAAAGACGAAAAGCTATTGAAAAAGGCTATGAAGTTTTAAATGTATTGAAAATATGGAAATATCAGATGATTCAATATAACCATGACACAGACGTTCGAGGTCTTTTGACTGATGATATTAACACCTTTTTAAAAATTAAACAAGTAAGTGGCTGGCCAAAACGATGTGAAAATATTCGTTTTGAACAAAAATTATATCTAAAAAACTATGAAAAAGCTAAAGGCGTTTAATTAGAAAGGGGAGAAAAAATACATATTCCCGGTTTGCGATCAGTTGCAAAATTATTTCTAAATTTATTAGTGTAAATTTGGGCAACGTGAAAATCTCACCTAAACTGAAACAGTAAATAATCGTGTTACGCTTATGGAATTACTAACAAATCCTGAGATCGATATCATAGGTGTAAACTGCGTTAAGAATGATATTTTAGGCCTAACAGGCCCCCCGTGCGTAGGCCCTGGCTGGGCAAGACTGAACCACTTGTTCGTCTTTAGATGTAAAAATGTTAAAACTAGACTCGTAGTCCAGTCAAATGAGGGAAATGGGATAATTTTGGTTTGCTGCGGCCAAAGTGATGATTTATAGATAACTAGATCGAAAATTTCGCGAGGAACACGATGGTGTAAGTCAAAAATGTTTGGCACGCATAGGGGGGGAGTAAATCGCGAAAAGCTGCCCCCCTATCGCGAATTTCTCGATTTCTATCATAGATATGAAAAAATGTTTTAAATAAAAGTTGTTCAGAATTCAATTTTAATTAAAAAAGTACTGAACACTTTTTTTCATATCTATGATAGATAAAAAGTTATTCGCGACTGAAGCTTCACTATCGACGAAAGCTCCAGTCGCGTCTAAGAAAATTAATTAAAAATACTTAACGCTGCAAATATCACTTTGTGGCGATTTATTTCGAAAAATGAGATATTAAAGTACATTTTCAGAGAAAACTTTTTTTTTTTATTGATTTTTTCATTATTTTTATTAACAATGAATTATTTAAATCGTCTCATTTTGGTTAAAATGCACCGATCAGCCCGATTTTGGGCTCAAAATGTGCAGAATTAAAAATTAAACATTTAATCTATGAAATTCGCCGTTGGGTGCGACAGAGAGCAATACATATCTCTCTGCTTCACTCGCACTTACACAAAACTTCTGCGCACGCGCCGAGTATTGTAAAGCGTAAGTGCGAGTAAAATGATCACTCGAACCGTAGGTGTGACAAAGACACTATACGGTGAGGGAAGAGGGGATGTTTTGGGCTCATGCTGGTTACTTCAAAAGTCTTTCTGAGCTTGAAATTTATCAGCGCGAGAATTTTTCTGAGTTCTACGCGCTTTAAATGTATTTCCTGTCGATCTAGCTATACTTTTTTAGGTACTTTTTCCGATTTTTTAACGCAAAAGAATAATTATGTGGGAGAGAAAAAATTTATATCTCCCACATAATTACCTCGATAGATCTAAAAATGTGCATACATATTCTTGACATATCTGAGAATATGTATGCCAATTTTTGCACATTCGTAATGACCGGAAGTCATCCATTTGAATTTTTAAAAAGAAAAGAATGGGAGAAAAATTAATTTTCTGAGAGAGAAAAAATTTATGTCTCTTACACAATTATATCAATCAATCTAAAAATGTACAAACATATTCCGGTTCGCGCGTAAATCACAAATCATGATCATGTGACAGACAAAATGACTAATCGCAGATACTTATGCGTAGTTGAGCTAGCTTTTCATATTAAGCAAGATAAATCTTGTGTGTTCTTCATTTTTTCCTTGAACGTATTATCAGTGTTATTTGTATTTTGACCGTTTTTAATGGTAAAATGGCACCAAGACAGAAGAGAAATTTTTTTTCATTCTAGTGGATTCAAACTGGCTCAAAAGACGTGTTAGAATTATCGTGTTTGCTAAAAGGAAAAGAGAAGAATGATGTAGTGGGCCTTCCATTGAAAAACAATAAAACTGAAAAAGGTACTCGTGATTTGGAGGTAAGTATATCTTTTGTTGTCTCAAGATAAGTGCAAAAAGAATCTTTTCATGTTGCAAACATACTTATTGTCTCTTTGTTCCAAGTAATCTAATAAAAAATAGGTTAGAAATATGAAGTTCATTGAATAATAAATAAGAAACTCATTCCATTATTTAAGTGATTGATTCAAAAACTTATGTTTATATTTTGATAACGATTTATGTATTAAAAAATTGTTGAACATAAATACATATTCTTTTATTATTAAATTTTGCAAAATGAGCTTTTTATATTTAATAATAAATCGTTAAATCGATTGTAGCTACTGAAGAGGATTTGAACAAGATCTGCTTAGATAAATATGGCTGTGTCTGCGATAGTGATACCAAAATATTTTATGAGAGAGTTATTAAAAGGAAACAAAAGTTAGAAGAAGCTAATAAATCTGCCCAATTAGCAGCAAAAAAAAGTCATGCACAACTTAGCTACAGAGTTAGGCAGTGAAACATATATTTTCAATATTCAAGAAGCTAGTAAAACAACCTCATTAGACCAAAATTCAACACGAAAATCCTCGATTTCTAAGAAAAAATCTGATGCAAAAATGTTAAAAAGTATAATTGATAAACGATTACTCAAAGAAAAGAATATTACATCAAAGAGTCAAATCAATAAACAAGCATTCAATTCTTCATTATTATCTGAGAATGTAGAACATGAATATTTCGATCATTGTATTGAAACAAAAAATTGTGGTAAAAAAATGATTTAAAAAAAATACTAAAGATATTAATTCGATAAAACCATTAGCTTTTCGATCGAGTATTTTCAACATAAATAATATTATTGAAAAATCAGTAGAAAAATATATGAACGGGATCCATTCTTTCAACATTAACGAATTGCATGATAAATTTTGCTACACTTGAACAACCTAGAGAACAATCTATTAATAATCAGAATAATTCAACATTTACACAATTAATATAAAATACGTTGAATGAATTTTTCTCTCCATCGACTGTAATAAATTCTGGATTTCATGAACCGATGATGACATCGACTCCTCTTAATTCTACAGAAAATGGATGTACAGGAAATTTTTGGCATATGCTAAATAATTAAGGAATATTTTCTGAAAAATGATCACATTCAAGTACACCTATGACAGATAATACTACCGCAATCAGTACCCTAGATAACCCAATATATAGAAAGCAACACTGAAATAGATTCTCAGTTCATGTCTTCAGTACCATCAGTATATGGAAATTTTCTGAAACTAAACACATCAAACTCAGCTAATAACTCGACATTACAGCCAGAACAAGAAATATATTCTGACAATGTTGAATAGAATATGAAGGATCAATGAAATTTCAACCACTCAACAGATCCTGTAATAAATAATAATGAAGAAAGTGACGAATCAGGAATTGATGATTTAGATGACTGAGCCATTGGAGCTCTACATTCTTTTTTTTTCGAAAGAAGGTTCATAAATTATATTTTATATAATTTCTGTATGTAATACCTAAAAATAATAATTATTATTTTACAGTTATCGAAAGAGATCTTGAGTTTCTTCGAATGACAGAGGCAGCTTTGGATATGGCATTCCATGGTCAACGAAAAAATAATTTAGAATTAACACTACATGGCTAAGTTAATGACATTGGCCTGTAGTCGATATCAATATTAATTCGTTCACTTAATAATAAATATTGATTAATCGAAATAGTAATATTACTTTAAATATTTTTTTCTGGTTTTCTTACAAATTGATAGCAGAAAAATGTAAAATATATTTCCCTTCTAACATTGTGGACAAGATAAAAACTGAAGCTAAAGCCAAATCAAGAAAAATCAACATTAGTACAGCTAGCTTTATTTGAAGTCTAGCTAGACCGCAAAAGGTAATAGACAATCACGGTTTGGAGTGCATCCACAACTTCTGAAGGCAATGTTTGGTAATAACATAGAGTTCGAAAAAATATTGTTCTCATTACTCTCTTGTATTCCAATAACTTATTATAAAATTTTTTTATACCGTGGGCAAAGGCAAAAAGCACAGAAAATTTCTCTAAAAAACGTTCAATTACTATGTTGATAAAATAGCATGGAATAAAAGGGGTTGTGATAATATGATTATATCAGATATTGATAAAAAATTTTTGTATAATTGACAAAGGCCAATGACAACATTTAATCTTATATTAATGTGTATAACGCATATCACATTTACATACATATGCAGAGGTTGAAATTTTATTTTTCTAAATTAATAATTTAGAATTAATAATTATTTAACAGTTAGCAAAGGTTATCTTGAATGTTCTCATAAAATAGTAGAAATAGATGAAAAAGCTCTTGAAATGAATAAAAAATCCACGTCACCCTCTCGCCAAAGTAGCCAGGTAAACTTCAGCAATATATCAACTTTTTCCAATAGTTAAGATTAATTGTATTTGTCTGATTTATATTTTTATTTAATATTTATTAGTTACCTGGAGAATTAACCATGCGATCAAGAAAGACACATGATAAGATATCAGTAAATCACAACATTCATCTTCCAAAAGAGACAATCGTTTGTCCTTTAAAAAGATGTTATGCTTCACAACCGGACTTATATGATTGGAAAACACATGTAAGGGAAACATCGTTAGAGATTTAAATCAATCAATAAATATAGTGCCATTGGAAAAAGTGGCACGCATCCTGGGATAGATGACGAACTGTCTGAGGCTCTATTTGGTAAGTTTTTTCGTTTATAAACGCTGGTAATTATTGTTTGTATAGAAAGTTACATAATTTTTTCTTTATTTCAGCTTGGCTGAATTGTTATATTGAACCACAAGTTTGACGTCTCGATCACATACGCTGTATTAATAATAAAAGAAAAAATCCCAAAAAAATACTAATAGTGCAGAAAATAACAAAAAAAGTGAAACAATGTAAAACATTTGTCATACATTTATAATTAAATTTATTATTATCAATAACTATAAAAATATTAATGAATATATAGATTCCACTTTAGTCCTACAAATCCTAAAACGGCTGGAAACACTGGACCTTACCATACCCTAAAGCGAATTAAAGTAGTACATTTATATACTACTTTACGTCCGAGCTTATCATATTGAGACATATGTGACACTTTGAAGCGTAATGCAGAACTTTTTTTATATATCTATGAATACTATCCTATAGGATATTATAAGTCACAATTCCGCTTTGATAGTACGAATGCTACTAGTACATTTCCAAGATTTTTAGCAAAACTTTTATTTCGATTCGGGACAATATTGATCTTCTATCATGGAGTAAAGATAATCAAGAAAATATTGAAGTTGTATTAAATACCTAAGATGAACAACATACTTCTAGTACTTTAATAAGAGAACCGCCAGCTAAAGTTCTCAAACTGTCAGGAAGAGTATGTGTTCTTCAGGAATCTAACACTCAAAATATTACTTCAACAATAACAGAACAAAATTTTGATTTATCATCGAAAATTAAGCTACCAGGAGTGAATTTTTATCTTAATATCAATAACTGTTCAAGCATTGCAATCCATTTTAATAAAGAATAAATACATATTATTGTTTTAAAACTTATATTACATTAGTGTAGTTGAAGATCGGTTTTTTTTAATTTAATAAAAATTCTTTAAATTGATGACAATAGAGAAGATGTCTTTTTTAATGTATTATAGTTATTGTACAGCTTCAAAAGTTAACTTTTAAGACAAAGATGACATAAAAGATTGTATGCAATAAGTGTAAATAGTGATAAATTGGCATAAGATATTTACAATACGATTAGAGGCGAGTTTTGTAAATATCGCATGCCAGTTTATCACTTTTCCGACTTATAGCATAAATACCTATTATTGGTTTGTTTTACCGGGGTAATAAAACATTTTCATGTTAAAATTTTTTCTATCCCTAATAAATTTAAAACTTGCTCTGTATACTAATAAAACGGCACAATATACAACTATGTAGCATAGAAAATAGGCCAAATCATTTCAAATTATATATTTCGTCTCAAATCTCGAGTAGCGGTAGATACTCGGTACCACGTCACCTACACATTCTACCCCCTATCCATCTGTTGCCCCTTGTCAAACTAGCGCGCTCTTGCGCTTTATTTGATTTTTGGATATGGATACTGTTAAGAATTCGAGCAAAATGATAATTATTCAAAGGGAAGCGAACCCTGTTAACATTCGAATACCTAGGCGAGTAATGCCTAGTCTCAACTTGAAGAGTAGATGCCGTTAAGTGATTGAAATACAATAGGAAATCAGGAATTTATCTTTTTTAGTTTTATTCTAATATCACAATTACAAATTACAATAATCACAATAATTTCACTGAATTAAAAGTTTTAATATTCTCAAAATAGTCTAAATGAATGTCTGAAATTAATTTGAATATCTGAGAGATACACTGTACACTCTTTGAATGATGAATGTGCATGTGGTGATTAACCTACGTGTAATGCATTGAATTTGTCACTTCGTCGATGAGAAGTGGGTCGTAAATCCACCTCTGAAGTTGCCTGAATTGATTGTTGCACTTCAATGATAATCTTAAGCACTAAATGATTACTTGGATTAGAAATAAAAAATAGGTCTGAGCACACTTTGTCTGTGCTAACACGACGAACGTCCCATTAGTAATTTTTTATAACAAATTTAAATAGTTGTAATCAATGTTTGTTGAAAACATCCATATACATGTGATATACATGTTACTTATTCAATAAATACAATTTTTAATTGTTTATAACAAGTTCGTATTGTTATAAACAATGTGTAATTGCTGAAAGTCATATTTGGTTGTGAACAATATTGTCTAGTCAGTATCGACTCAATTTTCAAATGAAATTGTTATTGTTCGACTTAAAAGTATTTTGAATAGCTAATCTTTTCGTTTTTTTATGAGTTATTTTGTTATTAAAAAAACGGCTCGACCGAATTTGTTCAAATTTCACTTAGATCTTTTTTTTGATAATATCTTTCGGATTAATTTTTGTTGAAGTCGATATCTCAATCCGTTCTTAAGATATTGAAAACGAAAAAAATGCTGACGTCCATACATACGTACGTACGTGTACACACATCATTCTAAAAATTGGTCAGTATGCTTGCAAATACCATGAAATGTGGAGATACGATAAAAATTCAAATTTCGACCCAATTTCAATAACTTCCTAATGGGAAGTTAACTAGTGAATTGAATGTCTTGACTCAACACGCGTGTGCTTGGTGAGAAAGAAAAGCAGGGAATGGCGTGATGAAGAAGGCGGTAATCATAAGAGGTCAAATTAGGTGTCAGATTTATGTCAATAGACCACCTAAAATATTGAATGATGCCTTGAGTTGATAATTTATCGACATGAAGATGGCCGCCTGACTTCCAATCAGCTGGTCATTCAAACATAGGACATAGAAACGTTGAAATTCTTATTTAAAACTTTAGTCAATCAATCCATTTTTTTGTAAAGTAATCATGCCTCATCGATTATTTACAGTGGATAAGAGATTCTATGAATTGGCTGAAAAAATGAATGGTTCCTTATTTTCGTTTATCAATTCTTTTATTTTATTACTGTTCATACCAGTCAAATAGCATTTACGCTGACAAATTTACGAGAATAAGCTCGTATCGTAGCACAGATAGAGAAAACCCAATACATCCTATATCTTTTGTCAGACTCAATCTCTTTACCCTGGTGCACTGCAAATCCCAAGATTCCTCAAACGTGTTAAAATAACATACACGAAGCGTATTCAATGTAAAATATCCATAAACAAATTATACATTATTTGTAGACACTTTTCACACATTTCATAGTGTGTGAACAATCTATACTTTGTTTACGGCATTTAACATTAAAAAGGCTTAGCGTGTTAAAAGTGTCTACAAAAATAACAGACTTGGATTTGCAGTGTGGAAATATTGGTATCACTTCGACTTTGTCCAACTTATCTCAAATTAACTTGCCTAGCTATAATTATTACTAAGAATGAAAAATAAATTTGAACAAACGTCTATATTTAAGACTAATAAAATTTTTTATAGATAATCGAACTCGAGATCATCACGAAAAATAAGAATTCTATCCAGAAATCTTCTATCAACAGAGAACATTACAAAAATTAAGCTACGTCTTATGACATTTTTTTCAACTAGCTACTTCTCCAGGTTAAGTAAAAATTGATTGCAAAAGAAATTTATCGTAAATTTTCATGTACAAAATTACTTTTTAAATTATTTTAAGGAAATTCGAAAAAGTATTTTCTTACACAATTCATCGAAAGTAAAGAAGAAAAAGACTTAATTTTATACATAACATAGCACTACATTTGAGTTCAAACTTTTTTGGTGTTTCAAAACTTTTTTAAATAATTATTCAAAAATAAGAATTTGGTTATTTGCAGAGTCATTTGGGCTGTGTACATGGCGCAAAGTTTTACCTTCATTTGTGAATGAAAGTTTTAGTGGTATACTTCACACACTTGAAGAAAAATTCTGAATAAGATTTATGCTATCAAATATTTATGTATATTTTGATCAAACATTCGATCTACAATTTCTCACGCACACTTATTTGATTTTTTTATTAAACAATTCATGAAACAATTTCAAGGTTTTGCGATGATGGCAAGTCAAACTCGGCACAATTTTATGATTTCAAACATTTTTAGCATGTAGAACAATTTGAAAATATCGAATTTTCAAACAACAGTGACGTGGCACCGGTTTTTTTACAGATATCGAACGATATCTGTTTTTAGCGGATCAAGAGTAACTGCTCGTTACTCGTGCCATGTCACGCCTTACTTTTGCTCTTTCTCTCTTTTCGTCACTCTTTTCCTGTCTGTCATGTCATGCGACGAGTAGACACTCTTATACACAAAACTTTGTATTTCTTTCTTCCCCGCAATCTTATCAAGTTTGCTTCATTTACACGAAAATTATGTGGGATATAAGCGAACTATACGTACATTCGCCATTTACATCATCTATGACCTTTCATTTGCTGCATATATGATAATTTTTTATTAGTTTATTAAAAAGATATTCAACTTTAAAGATTAAAAGTTGGAAGTTTTCTGAAAAGCATTCAGCCATTCTTATTCATAGGTGAAAGTGGGATATTTCGCGTTTTCTCAAGTTGGCACTTAATCTGTAATGCATGTTTATATTTTATCCGCCATTTAATATTCCTAAAATTGTTAAAATTTATTGAATCATCAATAATTACATATGCTAAATAGACTTAAGTTCGTGAATAATTTCTCTTATAGAATGCATGTGGTAAAGCTGTACAATTTGTTTTAATGTCAGGCAGGTGGTATGAGAATTTAATATAGTTCAGTATCTTGCCAAAACTACCATTATCCGATGTCAGTAAAACGTCGCTCCATGTACACGTCCAAAACGACTTTGTGAATAACAGAATTTTCATTTTTCAATAATTATTTGAAAGAATTTTAAAACAGCAAAAACGTTTGAACTTCGGCCAAGTCTGACGAAATTTTTATCGAATTAACTTCTTTTTCAAATTGAATGAAAGTCCATTGCAACAAAAAATTATCGTAAATGTTTATCTACAAAATTACTTTTTTCATTATTTACGGAAAATTCGAACAAGTATTTTTTGACTCTATTCATCGAAATTTACAATCAAACATTGCGTCGTGACGTCACTAGCGAACTTTTCAGTATAGAGTAGGGTGTTACTCGGCACTGTAAATATGAGCCGCGAGAGCGCGCTAGTTTAATAAGGGGCAATAGTTACATGGGGCAAAAAGTGCAGGTGACGTAGCGTCAAATATCTACGGCTACTCTAGAATTATAACTTTGCTGCTAATGGAAATTGAGAGACAAAAATTAATTAGGACATAGAAAAATACTTATCGAGGCTTTTATTTTACAACCATAACGAGGAAAAGTGTAAACATAATAGCTATGTGTTTAGAGCGTTGCACTGACATTTCACCGACCAGAGTTCGGTGCCAGTCACAGAAAGTTTTTTTTATTTTTTTTTTATTTAAGTGATTTTATATATTTAAATATTAATATTTGTATCGATGTACCTATTTTATTGAAATATTATTTCAATTAATTCTGAAGAGTAAAAAAATATTCAAACAGTATAAAAGAATGATTAAAAAAAATGATGAGAAAGTTATGAATTTTAATTCATGAAAAGCTCATCGTTATGATATATTTATATATTCATATTTATGAGTACAATCTACTAAGTGCTAATCTTGTATTTGTATCAAAACAAACATAAAATTTAGATCTCTAATGTTTTCTTCCTGTTAAAACCACAATCATTTGTAGACAATTGTCACATTTGATTAAGATAATTAACGCGAATCCATATCTATGTCTTCTTTTTTATTTACAATAATAATTTCTCATTACAAAAAAATGACTTGAGATTATCATGTTAAGATGAGCAACTCTCATCATTTCAGCTTGTTTAGGTGTCTTTAATTTCTTTTTCTAGCAGTTCCGCTTGTTCTCAATCGTTTCTTTTATTATCTTTAACTCATTAATCTTCTCTCATACCGAAGTTAATTCATTTTAGAATATAGTATTTTAACTTTGAATGTATAATATTTAGAAAAATCTAATATTGTATATAATTTTGACCACTATAGGGAAAAAAGTGTATAAGCATAGGACTTTCCCTACACTGCGCAACTCGCAGAAGTGACTACCCAACCTTATTAAAGTTTATTACATATGAGAATTTATCTAATGTTCTTTTCAACAATGAAAAATTAGAATTATTACAATTGCTACCATAGATATCTTTATTCACTTATAAATACTTCCTATGAGTATTTTTATCGTTTATCGTTCCTAGTATTTGTTAGATCCGTTAGTCTGCTATTTTCTGACACAAAAATCTGAATCAATTTTTCATTCCTAAAAATTAAGTCAATGAGACTGATAGAACGATTAGCTGTGTTAATGCTGAAAATATACTTCTTCTGTTAATTGTCTTTTATACTAATTCATATTAAACTAAATATTTCACAATTACTCACTATAAGTACATTACGTCAATCAAGTAAAAATTTACATCATTTCACTAGTATATTAGTGAATAAGCCATGACTTAAGCATGTTAATGATACATGTTACGAACGATAAACTGTTTGTCATTAAAATCCATACCTCTGTACACATTAATATATTCATCTCGTTTGACCTTTTATGAATCCCTTTTTTGAGAATTAAAAACTAAGAATAATGTTTGTTTCAGTCCCATTATTCAACATTAGTGCTGTAGAGGGTGGAGCTGTAGAGTTACCTTGTGATATAACACCTACAGAATCTGATTCTCTCCACATGGTGATGTGGTTTAGAGGTCATGCGGATGGAGCACCTTTGTACACGTAAGAAAATGACATTCACAGTATTCAGAACATTATATATTATACCAAAATACTGATGTGTCACATAACTATAAAACGATACCAAAAGTAAATGTCTATATGTAGGTAGACTATATGCATTATAGTTCATAAACTGGATGAGGTTCAGTCGAAAAGAGACCACTGAAAGTAGCAGTCCGGCTGACAATTTACCCCTCATTATCGGATATGTATTGAACATTAATATTCAAAGAAAAAATAAATGTATCTGTACCAGATTGTAGGATGTTCATTTTTTTATTCCATAGGTATTAATTTTCCACAAATGTTCAGTAAAGTAAATTTAATTATCAATACTAAATTAGAAAATACTATGCATCAAGAAAATAACCCCAGTATGGATATTTTTACATATCGTAACATATATTAGTAGTGTCAAGATAATTTTTGAGGCTTTTTAAAAAAAATCTACATACGGAGATATTGGTCTAAGGCAAATAATCGTGTAAGCGTGATTTTGGATTTTGTGTGGTAGTCTACATTTTTCTTTTGATTAATATATTTAAAATGCTCAAAAAAGCTGAATAATTTTGAAATTAAAAAAAAAAAGGAAATGCTCTCTAGGTGTGATTCCAAAGGTCTATATGGATAATATCCCAATAGATAGGGTTGAAATTTTTTTTTCGCTTTTGTTGGAGTATAATGTAATATTTAAGAGAAGAATTTATGTATGAATTCCTGTTTATTCTGAGAGCATAAAAATCAAAAATATCTTAAACAATTTTTTTAGTCCATTTTAGGTATCGTGCTCGTGTCAGGAGCCAATGTACCTCATCGCTGCGTGATGAGGCCTCCCACCATTTTATCCTACGTTATAGAATTAGCACGTCCCAATATACCAATACGGTTACTTCAATTATTATTATCATTAAATAACCATTTTCTTTAATCTGCTTTGGAATTAATGCGTTGTGTATAATAAACAGAAAAATTAGTATTCACTCGGGAGTAAAAATTATAAAAATTACTATTATATTCTGAATACGATGTTTGAGGATGTAAAATAATTTTCTTTATATACTACAGGCATGATATGTCGCGCTTATCATGCCTGTAGAGGGAGGTCTAACCCATCGATTAGAGACCAGTGCAATAATACAATCACTTAAATTCATAAAAAGTTAAGTATTAAAAAAAGTTAATTTGTATGGGATTACAACTTAACAATTGATTTAGCCAAATCGAATGAAATCAATAGAAAAAAAAGAATAAAATTTTTCGCTATATCACTTGATTTTCGAGATATCAAAACTGAAACTTTTTAGTTTTTCAAACATCGATATCTCGAAAACGAAGCAGTATATCGAAAAATGTTATTCTTTTTATTCAATTTATTTTCATTCGATTTAATAAAATCGATTGTTAAAATATGGGCCTGTGCAAATTATACTCAATAGAGGGGTCACGGTCTATACGCGCATGTGTCGGATAGCTCACTTGCCATCAATGTTGTTCTCTTGTACTCAGTCTTTTGTTTCGACTGTCGACTTCTCATGATTGAAATTGTTCCTAATGATTCATCTCATTCAAACGTAAATTGTATCTTACATTTTAAAAATGCAGAGATTACTTCAACAACGAGTGGATTTAATTTTCAATATTGCCAAGTGACAATTCACTATCATACTAGATAATAGTTCGTTTATTTTTCTTCCCAAAAAGTATTTTTTTTTTTGTAAAGTTTGAGAAAAATCACTGTTTATTTTGTGAAAGCTAACTAATTTTAAGTACTTTTGTTTATTAGAAATATTCTTTTTTCTTTCGTAAAAATCAAAACTAAACTGATTTTATTTATTTCGTAATAAAATAATATATATTTTTATCAGTGAAGATCCACAATAAAATCATGAAATCTATCTTTTTTAAAAAGTATTTTTTTATTTACACTATCATCTAATTAATGAACGTTTTTTTTTTTTTTAAATCATTTTAGAAGTAAAAAATTTTTTACTTTCATTTCAGGGGGCTTTGCTCCCTTCACCCCCATTACAAGTCTAACTATTGCTGAAACTGGAATTTTTGAGGAGCCCTTTCCACTGTGTCCCTAATCGACCGCGTCTCCCCTCTACGGCTAGAATAAACCACGCTCATCATTACCCTAAGTATATAAAAGATCGCCTGCACCACGGGACCTAATGGCAATCATCGTCTCAGTGAGATGACGCCACTCAAGTCACGCGTATACGCACTCGCTTTCGGTTCGTGTGTATAATCTACTATTATCATTAGACAAGTACAAGAGTTTCTTACAAATATCCATAATCATAAAAAGTTTTAAAACCATCCATAAATTTTAGTTCTCTGTTGTGATGTTTGAACGGCCATTTTTATTTCGATGCATAAATAGTAAGTAATTAATTACCTTTTTTTAAGGAAATTTTGGTGATTATTATTATTTAAAACAAACTTTTGTACGTTTATAATGATAAAGAAAATCATTTTACATCCTAAAACATCGTATTGGAAATATAATAGGAATTTTTATAATGTTTACAGTTAACCTTAAAGTTCAGAATTCAAGATTAGAAACTCAATATGAATAAAAATCATTCCCACCATTGATAATCACTCACAAGATACAAATCAGGCATTAATGCTTACGAGTGTACACCCAAACGAATGAATGCCTGGTCCATACCTTAAGAGCTACACCTAATCCCTCCGAGTAATTATCGACTAAGAGGATTTTTTTTTATAAAGTTTCATATTTACATTTTTTTTCAATGCTCCATAACTAAAGTCTTAGGCTGAGCAATTTTAAATAATAATTAATATGCCTAATTTGAATAACTTTATTGTTGGACTAATAAACTGTTGGATTTTTACTAAAAAAGTTAAAGAAAAAAAAATTATGTAACGAGGTTATTTTCCTGGAGGTAGATGAAGTAGGAAAAAAGTTTAGTAGGCAATCTATCAAACTAGTTTATCGATTATGTTTAAGAAATTTATCCTCCGAGTAGGTTTGCCTTTAAGGCCAGAGAACAAATAAAGATAGAATTAAGAACTCATGAAAAACAAAAAAAGAGGGATGTTTGTGATGAATTTCCCCCCTTTTCATGACGACTCCTCCACGTAACTAACTAAGTGGACGGAGTCAAACAGTATAAAAGTGGTAGATTCTTCAGAGATTAACACACTTGTTTCTGAAATACTAGACTGACGAGACCAACGAGAGTTGTAGCTCACGTTGTAAATCACAGAGTTGTAGCTCTGGCTAAATGGTTGTAGCCTTGTAGTTCCGTTGGTTGAAGCTTTCCATCAGTGAGACCTGAAAGGTTGTAGCCACCAGGAATAACCACGGAGGGTTTTAGCCTTCCGGCCAGGAGTGCTCTTGGTATTAGTAAGCAATGAAGAGTTGGAGCATTAAGTCCGTGGGAGAGTTGTAGCTCCGCTCTAACGAGTTAAAGTTCGCCAGTTCTTTAGGTAAGGTTGAAGCCTTCCCTCTAGGAGTTGTGAGCTTTCAGCGTATCCTGGGACGAGTTATAGATTGTCTTAAGTAGATAGGCTTTTGGGTTAGACGGTGAAGAGTTGTAGCTCACACTCGTACCCCTAGAAGAGTGATAGCTCTTCGTTGATGAGTTGGAGCTCGTCAATTTTCTAGGTAAGGTTGTAGCCTTCCTTCTGAGGGTTGCTAGCTCAGTAGATATGTGTGTGTGTGTGTGTCTGAATCACTCTACTATGACCGACAGTGTCAGCAATTTACCACCTAAGCCGGCAACTTACCGACCGTGGGCTTAGTTGCCGATTTTTCCGCTAGATGGCGCTGTGCCGATCTGCAGTTGGTAATTGTTACCAATCTAGTGTCGGTAATTGTTATCGATCTTCTCCACCAGGTTGCACTGTTGTAATGACGCGCGAAATGTGGATTTTGAAAAGTTCGAAATTTTTATGATGCTAATGTTTAATTTAAATATTTTAAAAGTATATTTTACTCAACTTATATATTTTTATCCTATTATTGAATTATTCTTGATACTTCTATTTTTAGTAAATCAATTTAATGCATAAACCTTACTTTACAGAGAAGGTTGAGTTGTCAAAATTAGATCTTTTATTGCAATTAAACAAATTTTATTTCATAATTGACAAAAACATATAATTAAATAAATTTCTTACAATAATTCCTGAAAATATCTACTTCCTGCCCATTCAGTGTATCATGGAATCCTGAGGGGTATTGTCTTCATTTGTTTCAATAAATTTGAAATTGTTCCAATTCCCACCAATGTATTGAAGTGATAGGTTATCTTTCTTCATAAAGTCGATCAAGGTGTTATATCCAGTGTCGTCTTTTAATGCTTTAGTTAATCTTTTTGGCAGAAAAACTATGAATTCGTCATCTAGTGTGGCAATGACTGCGTCACTATGTCTTGATTTTACTCTTTTCAATCCTGTCACTTGATATTTTCGTGTAGTTTCTAATTCTGACATTTTTTTCTTCGGTCTTCGAGTATTATTCGCAATACTGTTGATGTAATCCATTTTTGTATTTTATTTCACTCAACAATGTATTAAACTTGACAACGTAATTATTACTTTGTTTTCCCTCAAGAGTGCACAACTAAGTGTGGATTCGATGATTTTCGTAGCAGAACTGATTTCAAAATGTCTCGTCTGTTTAATATAATCTACACTCTATCGGTGAATTTTCGGTTCTTAGAAAGTTTAACCGATATATTCAGTTCTTAGAAGTTCCTTTGTCAGTTTTATAAGAACCGCGTCTATGTCAATGACATCATATGGCTGACTTACAAGTAGAGCATAGATACAGAGTGACTGGGCTGAAAAGAGTCAATACAAATCATGGTGGTGCATTAACTGCAACAATCGACGACAAGTTCTTTGTTTATTTACCATCAAGATTGTCAAATGCTTTGAGAGAAGATAATATTACTTCCAACAAATTACTTGATTACGTCAAAGAAGATAATTTGGAACTCATATTCTTTGGTGGCAAATGA